CCGATCTTAGTTCAAGTTAAGTCTATATGTGGCTGTAGATTTATTTTTACATGACTTTTTGTTCTAAACGAACATAAAGAAAGTTTTTTATTTTAAAATTGTATTTAATTACTTTAGCAATTACTTAAGCAATATTTAATAATTAAAATATTAAATATAAGCTGCTAAAGTAAAGTATGCGCGGTCATTAAGTATATATAAGTATATTCTTGATTGGCAGTCTATATAAATCAGACAGTTGTAAAGGCAGAAGCTCTATGTTTGGTATGAATATACTTGTACTAAGTATATACATATATTTTCTTAAATATTTGTCAAAATTGGACCTCTAATAGGTAGTATAAATCATTTTTCCTTTGGTCGGGTACTTTTTAGTCAGGCTGTCTTTCAAATTTTCCACTTCCAATGAAAATGTATTGTTGTTCGGCACACGCAAGTATATGCTGTGCAATTATACAAATTTGTGCTTTTGTCAAGCTCCAATTCAATGCCAATCAGAGCTCTGAAATAGTGTTCAATGGAAGTAATATTAATAATTTTGTGAATTGATAGGCTTACAATTTAGGGAGATGCCTGCCAGGCAACTGCATTCGAGAGTGCCATATCCTTCAATTTAATTGTATGTGTTGAAAGAGGACGTTACACAAAATGTAAGCATGTTTTGCTCAAAATTATTTCAACTATTCAAATGGAGAAGAATGAAATTAGTAGGATTTAATTTGAAGATGTTGAGCATAATATTCTTATAATAATGAGGAAAAGAAGAACATGTAAAAGCATTGTATGTATATACAAATACACAGGCTTGTTTCCTCAGAGTTTCAAAATCGATTGTAATTTTTGGACTATAAACAGAACCCTTAAGAACCTAATAGAGCTTGTTAGCAAAACAAACTTATCCAACTGTTGAAAAGAAGATAAATGAATGCAACAAGATTTATCTAGATAAGTAGATGAATATAAGGAGTACACAGATGTTCACTTCATTTTTCAGACTCGACTCCATATTTTATGCACTTTCTGCTGCAATGTATTCGACTATGCTCAGACTCTTTTGACAACACTCGTAACACACACAGAGGCACACACACACACACGAATGCAAGTGTAAACATTGCTGGTGTCCAAATGACAAAGCAGCAGCCCCAAAGTGGCCACACATTGAGGTCGCTCCGGCTTCAGACTGACCTGATCCCGCCCTGACCCCACCTCAAACACATCATGTTTTGCCTGCGGTTGTGGCGAGCTGCTGGATTTGTAGCGATTCAAACTGCCAACTGGCAGGCTCTCTGCCCTTCTCAATCCACTTCACGGCCGCATCGCTCCACGAAACTATATTAAATTAGTCAGATTACAAAGCCGAGTTGGGCCTTGATTTGAGGCAGACTTTGTGCCCCGAATATGACTTGCTTACCTGGATAGCCTTTTGATTAGATTAATTAGCTGCATACATGTAAGTGGAAGCTAGTGCAAGTCCGTAAAATGTACAATGAAATCCGTGCGATTCACTGGCAACAAAAGAAAGCCATAAATGCTTACACAACCCAGCAAGCTGTAGGCAAATGTTATGGCTCAGTTTAATTTGTCATATTTTATTTATTGCTGAAATGAATTGTCAATTCATTCTATGTATCGGCCGTACAGTTGTGTTTGGCTTGTAAAGTACACCCGGCAATTCAGCTGTCAGCTCTGAACAGGTAATAAACCTGTATGTATATAATATATGCAGATGCGAATTATGTGGAGCCAGAAGATGAGACTTTGCTGCAAATGTGACAAAATATAACTGACAGTACTGACTGTAGCTTTTTATCATCATGCCATCACCATCATCATGCGAAGTTCATAGTCAATATTTGATATCATTCTTAAGAATCTCAAGCATTTAAGTAATTGCACAAATGTATGTATCGGCCTCATTGTTTGGACCAGCACTTTCTTTTAAAAGTGTTTTATTGTGCTTACAACAAGGCAATTTTAAATTAAATATGTATACTATTTACTTTAAAGATAAATCTGTAAAACTCCCGTAAATGGTTACGCGAGAAGTTCAAATAGTTGGCCATACTAGCTATGATTTAAATTTTAAAAGGATGCAGTTGTAGTTCTTCTGTTGTTGTTGTAAGCTGTGTGAGTTTGACAAATTTATTATGCCGCCTGCGGGCGGCCAAACAACAAAAAGTTGCATCCAAACAAACAGCGAGCGTGTGAAGAGACGCGCTTGTTGCAAGAGGGAGTGATACAGGGGATAGGAACGGGAGTTAGTTGGGGACTCGACATACATATACAGATGGTAAATATGCTGTACGATGTGTGTTAAACTAACGGTTCTGTTTGTCACTGTCAGGTTTATTAAAAGGGAACCGAATGCTAGCTTGTCTGCGTATAAGTGTGTGTGTGTGTGTGTGTGTGTGCGTGTGCGTGTGAGTCTTTGCCTGTCCATTTAATGTATTCATATGCATATAAACAAATATAAATTACACAGACAGTCGCACACGTTTTTGTGTTTTATGCAAATCTGTGAGCTGTGACAAAAAGCAATTAGCCGCAGTTTTTACAGCTGCAATAATACACAGCTGTGTGTGTGTGTGTGTGTGTGCCTGAATTCACAGGTTAAAATGTCACAACAACAACAACAAAAACATTCGCATGCATCATGTGTTTGTGTGCATCTTTGATCAGACAATGCCCAGTAAAATGATTGCAGTGTAGCGCAATGGGCGGGGCGGCGTGTTGCAGCAACCATTTGCCGTTTGCCATTTACCAACCTGGGGCAGCTGCCTGCCTGCTGTATAAATGCTGCGATTTAGCGTATTTACAATTTGACTCTGTTCAGTTGAAACCGCAAATTCCCATTTGCTGGCAGCCATTGACAAGCGATTGATCACGAAATGAATGCCATAAATTTATCGAACCCTGTTGGCTGTACACCAGAACACACCTCCCCTTGGCTCTATCAGTTCCACTAGATAGTTGGACTCATTACGGCTTAGTTTGATTTCGGCTCTCGTTTCAGTTATTTATCTGTGTCGTAATAAAAGTTATAGAGCGGAATGTAGGGCCCATGCAATACTCTGTTTTCAGTGCAAATATGTGTTTGACTTCATCAACATCCATCATTAGTTATCCATATAGACTTTAGCGGATAAAATACTTACCCATAATAAACTCTTTTTGTTGTCAAGATAGAAAGAGAGTAAAATAGAATAATTTCTATGACGAACATTTTATGGATATTTTACTTTTGAAGTCGTTTAGACGGACAGCATGTAGGCAATTGCACAAAACCTATAAACTCGTTATCAGTTTGTGATCAGAGTATAAAATCAAAAACAGTTCCGCTCGTATAAGTGCCGTTAAACTACGCAAAATAGTTTTCATTTTTCATTAGCAGCGGCATCACGTATACGCCGCGTTGCACTGTGCCGCGTCCAAAGTCCGACGTCCAACGTCCGACGTCCGACACTTTGGCGCCCGCCATCTGCCAGCGTCACGCGATCAAATAGTATTTTGTTAACAGCTCTCAGCTATGCAGATGTTGGAGGGAAGGTGGAGTGAACTCGTATGTGCGTGCCTGGTGCACTGGTCTCGGACTGGGTCTGGGTTCTAAGTTCTGGGTCTGGGTCACAGGTGGATTTAGTTGCGAACCGACACGCTGATTTATGCCGCTCATTAAGTGTTGGGTGCGCGGCGGGGTGGTGGACGGTGCACGATGTACGGCTTGGATGCCTCAGGGTTATAATAAGCTTAGCCTTAGCGTGCAAGGTGAATTAAGGAACACGATACGAGCACAACAAATTTGCCTGGCAAAGGCCAAAAGGAGTGGCGTATATTATGCGCCTGGGTCAAGGTTATCCGCACGCTAGGAAAACGGCTCTCTTTGCTTATGGCTGTGCTCCGTCTTGGATTTGGTCTTGGTCTTGGTCTTGGGCTTAAAGTCTGACTAATGTCAGCTGCTGTTTGGCTCTAATCATCACACCACATCGCGTATGCGTAATATGCAAATAAATGCAAGCTAATGGCTAACGGCTAATGGCTAATGGCAGGCGACTGTCAACTGCTGCAGCTGCATGCTGCCATATGGCGCCATCGCCTGGCAACAATTTTACTTAAATTGCACTCGAGTGCAAGCCAAACAAACGACATATTTTGCAAGCATAGCACCAAGGCAGCCCCAAATGCATGCCTCTTCAGCCGTACTCTTCAACTGGGTGCAGAGTCAAAAAGTTGCCGTAATTAAAAAGCTGACTTCAAGCAGCCTCATCGACCACATCAATAATCACTTAATCGTTGTGGCAGCCTTTAGCAACGACAATTATTGATCTTTAAGTTGGCTAAGCAAATATTTTCACAACGCCCTAAGTACTTGACTGTCTCTCTTGCCCTCTCGCTTCGGTGAAACTTTTCTAATGAGTTAATCCAAGGCAAATATCGTTATTTCAGGGGATAAGCTGATGTCCGCCTGTCGTCATATATGCTCTTAGAACGGAGTAAGCACTTAATATATTGGCTAGTTTTTGTTTCGCCCAACCGCGTTTTCCTTAAAGACTTTCCCATGGACACCATGTATTGAGTCCTATCACTCACCGACGTAATCTTATTGCCCAGTTCTGTAAAATTGGCTTTCTATTGAAACTATTTTAGTTGGTGAAATGCATTCTATAAACCATATATACAATGGCCATGGCCTTCCTCAGTCCTGGCGCGAAGCACTATCTTAAGCCTATGTGAGATCTGAAGTTTAAACCAAATTCTGTAGCACTTTTTAATAGATGCCTAATTTGATATTCAAGGCTTCAAGCGCAACCGGTTAATTCATGTTAAACTAATAATAGTTATATTGAAAATGAATGAAGTTTGATTAGATTAGGAAAGAGATTCAATTTAAATTGAATTTATTTGCACATAGAAATAAATGCGAAACGGCTGAATTTGTCTTTTCAAATCAAATCCATCTTAGTTGGCCACAAAAAAGGAAAAACAAATAAAAATAAATTCGGTTGACAGTTTCAGAGCATCACGTATATTCTATGCTCATTACAAATTGAACACTACGACAAGTTGGAGCTGCAGAATTTTAAAATACAACAACAAAAACAACATAAATTAGTTCAAATGATTCGTTTGCCCTTGCCCGAAAACGAGGATGAGACGAAGCGCCGGATTACCGATGTACGCAGTACATTCATTCTCTTTGGCGTCATGGTTATCATCATACGTTTGAGTGAGTAAGGATTAGGGGTCCATCTGTATTGTCTGGGGGAAGGGCGACCCTTAGGCATAGCTATAAATAATATGCAACTTTTTGCTAACATTCTTCTGGTTACAGTGCCGCCTGTGCTGCGTCTCATGAATATTCATTAAATGGCGTCCACTGTCCAGCTTCAATTTATCCCAATCAAAATTCTTGTGCCCAAAGGACCGACTGGGTGTGCTGTTAATCATAGCTAGCTTAGCGATGTTAGTTATTAGCAGATGTATTATCGATGCGTTTAACGGCCGGAAAGCGTTATTTATCGCGTTGACACGGAGTCTTTAGCTGAGTTAAGTGTGACGTCATTTGGAAACTGCTATGACGTCATCGTTGAAGCCAGTTATTAACTAACTTTATATTAAACCAAAGCGACGGGCAACGAAATTTTCTAAAACGTTTATGAGCAGCGCTTTTAAAGGCCATGAAAATGTCATCAAGTGGTTGTTGTTTCCCTTATAGCACGTGCCCTTACGAGGGTACATAAACAAATTTCCTGTGCATCGATTTTTGTATACTCTTGGCAAAGCTCAAGTGTCTACATTTGCTATACCGCTCCAAATGGACTTAATTGCTCTATCGTTTCAATGTGCAAATATATATCTATTTAAATCTATATTGTTTTTAGTTTTCGCCTTTAGTTCTTTAAGATATGCTTGCTGTGAATCGCATTTAGACACAATGGTAAATTATAATATTAATTGCTTATGAATCGGATTTTAGTTGGTTCCGAGCCGATTTGCATGAAATGTGAATAAAATAAAAACAACTATGGATTATAAAACGATGGAGTTGTAGGTAGAGTAGTTCTGTTTACGGCTCAAACAAATGCCTGACTGCAAGGTTTGATTCGTGAACCTGCTTAGGGTTTCGGATGATCCTTCCCTTTTTCTAATAGTCCAGCTTAAGGTTCGGTTTATAGTAAATGGTAAATATTGGAACTCGGTCCCCGAAACGGTTTGATCCAAAGACAAATTTGCGATCTTTGCCTTTGGCCTTTGGTTTTGCGGCACATAGCTTAAAATGTGACTTGAATAAAAAAAAATGGTCCACATTGCTAGAGAAAATCATTTCCATCCTCGCACATTTTCTCGCCACGCACACTTATGCGTTATAAATTCAAATGCTGTGCTATATACTGAGGGTGTGTGTGTGTGTGTGCGCGCCCTTCAGCAGGGGGCAGTAAGAAGTAGGCATCGCCTTGAACGGCAGTTAATTTTACGCACTTAGTCAATGACGCTGCGCTGGGCACCTTAACGCGTTTTAAAACTGGGCTAAAAGTATGCCACTTGCTGAAATGGGGGCACAGACTATGGCTCCTGCATAGTTGCTAAGGATAACAAACATGTGCGCTTATGTTCACATCCATATATGTGTGTGTTTGTGCCTGTGCCCGTATGCGCTTGTGCGTGTGCGTGTTTGCAATGTCGTTTGATGTATGTCGCCTTTAAGTTGTTAACGTACTGCGGCTGAGTGGCAAGTAGGTTTGACGGAGAGTTCGAGGGGTGTGGCTGCCATTGACTTGACTGTCATATAGCCAGGCCTATTAAGACCTAGAAGCGCGCCAAAGTAGCGCGCATCAGCACCAACCGCACAACAACAACAACAATAACAACTGTGGAAAGAACAAGAGCAACAACATTAACACTCGCGACACATTTGCGTTGGTCTATTTCTTTAGGCTTTCAAGTTGAGTGCCTTACATTGTCAGCACCGCCCCCACCCAGTCATCGTTCCGCTTAGACCCATTTGACAGCACTCATAATCCAATATGAGTGCATATTAACTTTAATCAGTTGGCGCACGAGTAAGTTAGCAACCTGTGTGTGTGTGTGTGTGTGTGTGTGTGGAACAGACGTTCCACTTAGGCATTTTTAAATATGCGTTGCCCTGCACTTCCCTTGCCAGGCATTTGTTACTAAATTTAAAGTCGCGTCAACTCATGCCTTGTCAATAACAAACCCCATGGAACACACACACACACACACACGCACCCCCACCCCCCACGTACCCCCACCGCACCGACATTGTGTGCACAGTAGAAGCAGCAGTAGCTTTCGGAATGCTGCTTCAGCTGCGCTGGGCTAGATACACGGGACAACAACTTCGCAGTTTATGTTGTCGTCGGGGACGTCTTGAATATTTCAATTTTATTTGGCCTACACGTGACAGGTGTGTGTGTGTGTGGGTGTGCGTGTGTGTAGGTCTCTCGGGCAACTGTGCATGCTCTGCTCAAGACTGACGTTTATACTCGTATTTGTCACATGGGCATTTCATTTCATTTGACACTTTTAGCATTAACTTTTTGTAGGCTTTCATTGCTGCATTTAACAACACGTTTTGTCGTTTTAATGGCTTCATCTGGAAAAACACAGAACATTCAAAGCTCTATTTGAAAGCTGTTTCTTTTAACAAAATGTCTGTTTCGTAAAGGTATTATAAAAGTTATTTGTAGTTAATTATAGTTTAATTTAATTATTGCAAGTAAAACAAGTAAATATATTAATAAAAGTTGATAATCGTGAACTTTTGGTAAACACAAAGAACTGGTTTAAGCGTGGGTTGTAAACGCTTCAATAGACGATTGATACGTGGAATAAGTAGATAAGTAGACAACAAAATACACCTATACTCATAAAGAATCTGCTCAGGAATAGTGTGATGTCGGCTTAATGGACGATAAATATCGCAAATAGCACAGAACTTATAGCAGACTTAGTATCTTTATACTGTGTGAAACGCTGATATAGATGAAACGATTAGATACTAAGCATTAGATACTCATTGCTGACTCTCTTAATTTACGATCTAATTGATGTTTATTAAAGAGAAACTTTTTTTGTAATGGCATTCACACACCAAGTCATTTTTAATTAGCCCGACGTTTATTTAATATAATTTATGCCTATACCTGAGCCGTTTTTCAGATGCAAAACACAACTCGTAGCCAAAATTATGGCAAGTTTTGTTTATGTTTCCAACAGAAAATCAAAAGGAAACCCTTTGATATGGTTGAAAACTTGGCTCAGCGCAAAATGCGAGCAGCTTTTTCAGAGTTGGCGAAAAATAAACACAACAACAAAAACAACAACAACGAAAAGAACAAACAAACTCAACAGAAACAAGAACATCAGCCAGCACAGCAAACGCGTTGAAATGAAATTTGGGAACCCTTTACCACGAAAAAAAAGAGAAAATAAAATAAAACAAGTAAGCGTGATATGGGGTACTACTCACTTGTAGATACTGTGTACTTTTGCGCATGCATAGCCAAAAAATGCACAGCATTATTTAAAATAACTAATTTGTATGGTTTAAGTTTGTATTTCATCAAAATGGCATGCAAACGCGATCAGATGCGAAAAATGCGGTTATTATTGTATTTATTATAAGTTTAACCTGCATAAACTTGCCAAGCCAACTCACCTTTTTGAGTATAGGGTATAAACTGAAAAAAAGTATTTAACTTGTGATATATAGACGAAAAAATTTTCATTTTCATTTTGGCTAAAATGTTTAATTAGTCGACTTTGGTGCAATGTGAATTCGAAAGCCCCTCCCGTTATCCCCATTCTCCAGCACACTCTATCAACAAACAGAAAGACAAACACTACGCATCAAATTCGAGGAATATAGGACATGACGAAAGCCAGACGTTAACTATACGAAAGCCACGAAAATCACAAGAGTTAAAAATGCTACTAAAATGGAACTAACACAAGGGGCAAAAAAAAAAAAAATAGCAAAAATAAATAAAATTTTCTTTGTGGGTTTGGTTGAATGGTGAATACTCTTTATTTCGTACGTATTTATATTTATAACTATTACTATTAGAATTATTTTTGATATTAATATTATTATTATTATTATGTTTATATTAAATATTATTTGAATAAGTACAGGATATAGTTGAACAGTCCAAATTTTACAAGTGACTTTTTCACTGAGACAAGATTTATGAGTATATTAGTTATGAGGGTTCCACTAATAATTAGAGGAGCATGCTAAGTAAATGAACATTCAGAATTCTTCGATAGTATAAGACTTCGTGAAACTTGGGAATAGATATCGACCTCGCGATTCGAGCTGAAAGCCTTGTGCCTCAAAGGGTATACAAAATATGCTATGTATATATGAAAAGTTAAACAAGGAATAAACATAATTTTGTGCAAGTTTTTCTTTAATGATTTGCTTTTGTGTTTGCGTAGCCATACACAGACACACACGCACACATGCGCGTATTCACGTGCGAGTGTGTGTGTGCTTCCTCTTTTGCCCCAGCTCCAAGCCCTCTTGGCTATACGTGCCCACGTCCTGCTCCGGCGTGCACGCCGTACATGCATGCAAATCCCCTTTTTGGATTTACTACTTTCGGCTCGTTGCCTGGCTGTGAGTACCCGGTAGTCCCATATCCCTTTGTGTCCGGATCTGTGTATCCTTTTAGCCATGTCACGTGCAAGCAGCGCATGTAAAAATTCCAGAATCGCACCTACCCGATGTGAAGCGGCAGAATGTTCAACGTGTATCTAAATAGCTTTAAACGAGTGGCAAGCGGGCGGCGTGGCTCGGCGTCGGGTGGGTTGGGGGCTGTGCTGTGGCAAATAATCAGCGGCACATTTTTTTTTTTTTTTTTTTTAAACTTAATTTGGTTTATTTTGCGCTGGAATCGATCAGTGCCTTCTGATCTCTACCAAGCGGAGTTAAGGGTATAGTGTATAGTTATTATTTAATAACTTAAATGATAATTACAGACTTAAAAATATATAACAATAATGGGAAAGGGATGTTTAAGTGATGTGCCTCGTTGGTAGGTCGTCGGGGTGTAGCCTTCGGAGGCGCCTCTCACTGATGGGCTCAGCCAGGGCCCTTGCGGCCGCGTTCGGATGCTGCACCAATTTGTCAGAGTATCGGCTGCTGAAGAAGTTGAGCTGATCTCCGACCTTTGTTAGGCGGAGATCGCGTTCGATGGCGTCTGTTGTTACGTACCATGGCAGGCCAGCAACCTTGCGTGCTGCCTTGGCTTGGACCACTCTTATGCGACGGAGCTGGTGTGCTGATGCCGTGCCCCAAACTTGGATCGCATATGTCCAGATAGGCGTTACCATCGTTTTGATAAGCAGTGTCTTCGTGGATATGTGCAGCTTGCTTTGAGGCTTTAGTAGCCAATCGAGCTTTTGAAGTCTTCTCAGGCATTTTGCTCTCGTTGCTGCGATGTGAGGCCCCCATATGAGCCTTCGATCCAGGTGGACACCCAAGTAGCAGAAAGAGTTGGTCTGCTCAATGGTTCCTCCATCGAACCGTAGCCCCTGGCAGCTGTATGGGCGCAGCGTAAAAGTGACGCAGGCGGACTTGGCACAGTTTATAGCGATGTTCCACATAGCTGTCCAGGTTTCGATCTGCAGCAGCCAGTCCTGCACTGCACTTGTAGCAGCTTGCAGATTTTTGTGGGAGGCTAGGAAGGCAGTGTCGTCCGCATATGTTGCCACCAGCAGTCTCGCAGGGCTGAGGTCTTCGTTGCTTTGTCCTTGTGTGGGCAGGTCCGCCGTATACAGCGTGTACAGCATCGGACCGAGGACGCTGCCTTGTGGGACACCTGCTCTGATGCCCTTAATTGCC